AAATACTTGCAAAACCAAATACAAAAGATATTCTTCATTTTACTTTACATGTGAAACGAGGGTATTAAGTCTGAAAGTGCTGCAGTAATTTGCTACCATGAGATAAACTAGCCTGAGAATGAAACCAACACAAGGCAAATGACAGCAGAATGAATCAGAGAAATTGATCCAAGTCCTTGATGATTTCATGAGAGCCCTGGACGATGCCTTAGTTGAGGTTTAACCACAAGATCTAATCATTCCCCTTATTGTTTAAGCTGTTTGAATTTGGTTTTCTGTCACTTGCAATATAAGAATACAGATAAATCTCAGTGAATTCTTTCAAAAAGCAAAGCATTTGCCTATTTCAGAATGTAGGGGCACTAACGGCATTTTTGAAGGGATGATTCTTGTTTTGTGGGCAAACACCACAGGATGCTTAGTGTATCTGGCCTCTACCCACTGACAGCAGGGCCACAAAACCAAAAATGTACCCATATATTTCCAAATGCCTCCCACCCCCCAAGTGGAACCACAAATCTATTTCCTGATTTAGATTTGTTGTTACATGCACCATTCTAACCAGGCTTCACCAGGTATACTTAAATGTGCTTAACATCAACTTTAAAAGAACTGGAATACACCACTCAAATATCTTAATTTTACATAATAATCCAATTTTAATCAGTCATCTATGACTATCTAAATGGTTGGCCAAAATCCTATGTATAGCTTATATCAACTCTTGGGGTAAGCAGTGCTTTAAATTTGCTACTACGTTCTGAAAATTCTTATTATTTAAACTTATTTCTCCATATAATACTATGGAGGTATGTCACTGACATTGTTGGTTACCTTCCCTGCAGTCATTTACTCAACTTCTTCCTAGACTGAAATGCCAGATATTCGGTTTTCCTGCCCTCTTGCAACCAGGGCTTGAGTATCTCAGGATGAACATCTGATGTAGGACTTCTATAAGAGGTTTACTTGCCTAATCAAGAGATGGGAGGGCAAACTTCCTCTTGTCTTTCGTGACTGTGTGAGAATGTGATACACAGGGCAGAAAGAGCAATCTGCAACCATGAGAGGTCAAGTACACAAGTCAGCACACTAAGGATAGAGATGGAAAGCACCTGGATCCTTGATAACATCATTGTGCAGCTCAAGTAACTAGCCATGGAATTCTCCAACCCTGGGCTTCGTTTTATGTACGATACGTTTAAACCACTGTTAGTTGGATATTAGACAACCTGGGGGCCGAACTAATACAAGATGTATTCAAGATCTGACAACTGATGGAAAGTGGGGGGGAAAAACAAGATGACTCCAGGGTTTCAAGACTGGGTAGCTGAAAGAAAGGTGGTTAAAAAAGAGAAATCAGGAGGAAGAGGAATACATATACATACATGCACATGTAAACACACTAGGTGATTAAAATTGATTCAGTTTGGTTACGGATTAAGCTTACAGTAGTAGCATAGCTAAGATATATAAAGCAAACAGTGGAAGTGGGAAGCAGAGTTACAGAATTGAGAATCATCTACACAAAAATGATGACATATCATTAAAAAAAGGATACGATCACCAAAAACAGTGAAAGGCACACAGACCCTCAAGGACACTGGTTAATTACCTCCCCAGGATTCATTCTACCTTCATTTCAGATAGAATTCTTCCACTAGCTAGGCCAATTACAATAATCCCATCTCTCTTGACAAAGATATTGTGATCGACTTGGCAGCATGATATTCTTCATTTCTTCAATCAGACTATAGCTTAGGGCTTTTGGGAAACGTGTGGGAGAAGGGAAGCCTTCTCTCTCCCTTTAGATGTAAATGAAGAAAGCTATAATATGAACATTGCTGATAGTCATCTTTTTACTAGGAGGGAAGCCAGTCTGAGCACGAAGCCCAAACAGGAGGTCAAAGCTGAGAGAATAGCAGAAAAATGGAACCTTAGTCCTGACGATAAAAGCCTATGAACAAACTACTCTCTAAGTCAATTCTATCTGTGCACTTGCCAATTATATGAGCCAATACATTCCTTCTGTTTTTAAATCTAGTTTGCACCCTAACTGATGTAGGGAACGGCTATGTTTAGGTGAAAGAACAAAAGGAAGACAGTGCAGGAAATGTGAAGAAACTTTAAAAAAAAAAAAAGTAGGAGACTCGGGAAGTACAATGCAGAGGAACCAAGAAATTGGATCGTTTTATTCCTATAGAGTATATTTCACAAATGATCTAAGGAAACCGAGGATGATTGAGGAAAGACCATTAGATTTGGTGATTAGAAGGTCAGAAGTGACTTTTAAATAGCAATGTCAGTGCTGAAATAGTAAAGGAAGTCAGAGTGCAAAGGAAAGGATAATTTATATTTATTAAGAACTCCATAATGTACCAAACACTTGGACAGACATTTAACATGTGTTAAACTCCTTTAATTACAACTCTGTGAGGTAAGTATAACATTCTACTTTATAGATAAAGAATACAGTCTGAGTAGTAACTTGCTCAGCCACATAGCCACTAAGTGGTTTAACTGACTTCAAACCCAAATCTATCTGGCTCAAAAGTCAATGTTCTTTCTACTCTATCAGGCTACTGGAATGAAAGAACAAATCTTTGAAGAAGGAAAATATAGCAGCACAGCAGGCTCAAGATCCAGACTGGCTTCCTTGAGTTGCACAGCACACAGCACTGTATTTGGCAGCCCCAGAAAAGATAAGCATGTATGTAAGATAGAGAGGGAGAGATTGAAGGAGTGATCATGGAAAGCTCTAGAGAAAGAAAGATGGGGAGGAATGATCATGGACACATCTGGAGGGGGTTGCTTTTGAAAAAAAGGAAGGACGTTTCTTCCTCTGAGATACGAGTAAATAAGGAAATGATACTGAGATGGAAGAGAAGGAAGTAAGAGGTAGTAATCCCCAGACGGTTGAGGTTTCTCTCAGCAAAGGAAGAGATCAAGTTATTTGCTATAGAAACCTTTAGGAAACGAGACAAAAAGGAACACAATCAACATTAGAGCAGAGCAAGATTGGTACGAAAACTAATACCCCTACATCTTGCATCTTCAGGATTTCAGGAGTCAGGTCAAATGACAAAGCTAGTGGTGAGGCTTATTCAGGACTGGGGACTAGAAAGGGAAATCTACAAAAAGTAAAGCATTCTCGGGCATCAGTTAGAACTTAGTAAAAACTGAAGACCATGGGATGCTGTCACACAGGGCAGCAAATGAAGTCAGCAGTAGACTAGTGGGTTGGATGAACACAGGTTCCTAACAAGGGGGTGAGAGAGAAAATAGATTCGAAGAGTGAGAGATTTAAGGAGAGTCTGTGGTTAGAGATGCCTTTTGCTACAATGTTTCAAGTTATTTTGCCAGAGGTAATGAGCATTGATTGCGGCTAAGGAGTCATACTCTCTTCAGCCAAAGATACAGACTGAGAGACAACCAGCTCTAAAATCAGGCAGTCATTGGCTGTAGAAAAGTGAAGGCTAGCAACAGCCGAATAAACTAGCCCATACAGAAATCAAACAAAAATATCTCCCCTTCTTTTAAACTGAACAATTCTATCTCTAAATTTAGGAAATCCATTAAGAGGTCATAAAGTCTACAGCAAAAGAGAAAACATGTGTCATGTCATAAGATGGAATGAAAAGTAAACAAATCTGTCAGGCCAATTATAACTCACATGTTAAAGATTTATAGTATAGAATTCCAATAGGGCAAGGATAGTTTGTGCTTTAATAACTTTGGAGACCACTAGCATAATAGCTTAAACAAAATGATACTGCTCAATTTAATGTTAACAAAAAGGATCCACCTTTTTTTAATCTCAAAGGACAAGCTACCATTTTTATTTATAATCCCACTTATACAATTTGGGGGCTCTTGACACATTATCCAACTATCCACAATAGGAAAACATGAGAGAATCAGCCACGGCAACTTCCTCTGCTACTTCCACTACGATCCTTCTGTTTGCACTTTTAAGGACAGTTATAAGTGCAACGTTATTTAGGACACTTTCTTATACCATTAATTCTGACTCTCCCTTGCCCCAGTAAAAAAGAGGGAGAACTGAGATAGGCACAGCTTAAATTTTATAGAAATATCAAGTGCTATAAGGATTGTTAAGCAGTAGCAACTTATGAAGAATCCAAGAAATTTGAGAAGTTTTGAGTTTAAAAAGCTTTTCTCCATTTTAGTCCTTTCTAAATAAAACAAAGGGCTTGTACCATACGAGATTCTAAAGCTCCAATGGGTAATTTAATCTAACACTGAAAAAAAGAATAAATCGCTTATCTTTACTTGTGCCATTCATTACACGATACCTCACATCCATAGGCCTTCTTTTTCAACACGAACAGTTAATTCTTTCACTAGATCCTAGAAAATTTATGCTCCTGCCTCAAAAGTTCAGAGACTAAAGCTTTACTATGGTCAGAAAACGATTAATTTAGATGAAGCATCATCTGCCATCACAGGCACCATTCCTGTGTTTTGCACGCGTTCTATGGGCCAAAGGAGTCCAACTCTCCCAAACCATCCCGGTCTCCCGGGGTCTTGATTCCCTCATCAAGGTGAACAAAATTCACTGGCCTCCGCATAACCAGCCTTTTCTTTGTAACTCTATATGGGTCGTCTTCCCGGTTAAAAATGTTTAAAGGAAAAAAGAGGGTCGAAACGAGGAAGATGAGGAGGCGACTAAAATGGGAGGGGCGGACTACACACCCACCTAACGCGAAGGAGAGACGGCTCGCAGGGGGGAAGCTTCATCAGGAGCCAGGAAAGGTGAGGGGGGCGGCAGGCGTCACGACCCCCCAGCCACTGTGTGAGAATGGAGGTCCGGCAAAGCCAGGGGCCAACTAGAGGCCTGAAAGGGGGCGCGGGGGCGGGGAGGGGGTGGGACGTGGAGACAAGAGAGCCGCAGAGTCGGGCCGAGCACCACTAGGGTCACGAGCAGCGGCGGGGCGCAGCCTAGATTTGCCGGGGGAGGAGACGCTTGCAGCCTCACTCACCTGCCAGACGCTCGCCCTGCGGCCAGAAACACGGACGCCCGGGCGCTTCCTCTCCTGCGGGACACAGCCTTTGCCGCCGCCGCAGCTCCAGGACCCGAGAGTGGAGAGTGGTACAGAAGTGGGCAAAGTGGCCACCGGACCCGAGCCCAGGGAGGTGTACATAGGGAGCACCGGGGGCCCGGGAAGGCAACTCCGTGTGCACCTTCCTCACCGGTACCCAACAACGCTTGCTGGGAACAGCATCGCGCCAACCTCGGCCCGCTGCTCCCGGGCCTTGGCCCGCAGCTCCCCCACCAGCAGCGGCCGGGTTTCCGGCGGCGACACTCCGCCCCCTCGCTATTTGGCCTCCGCCATCTTGTTGGAGGCGGGAAGAACACAGTGCGCATGCGTGTCCGGAGAGTGCTGGCGTCCCCCGGCCCTGCGAAGAGGGCACTAATGCGCAGCCGCGGGGGCCACTGCGCTTTGGCGGTGGGGTCCTGCCTCACGCTCGTGCTGCGTGCGCGATTGCTAGTTGGGACGCCAAACCTCTGAGTACCGTGAATAGTAGTAGTTCCTTCAGCGCAACCCACAGGCATTCTGCGAACACCTAATACCTACAATGTGCCCCGGCTAGACGCTGACGATGGAAGTATTAATGAAATTTGCCCCCAGTTCTAAAGGAGCTCCTCATCTGGTGAAGAAGATGGAGATGATCGAATAATTCCCTAAATTACCATTTTGTAGAAGCGCAGCACGCCCGCCTCCCCCCCCCCCCACACACACAATTTTAATTCAAAACGTATTTTGGGGGAATTTCTCCCTGTTGTCTCACACAGTTTGATCAGTTCTTTACCTTGCCTTACCTCTCCAGCTTAATTTCAAAGAATAATATTTGATTTTCCATTATATACTAGATACTGTTCTAAGCTGTAGATTTATAGTAGTAAGAAATATAAACTCATGAAACATGTTCTACTTGGAAAGACAATACAATAAAAGGCTAAAATAAGTCAATGAAATAATGTTTGATAGTGATAAGGGATGGGAAGAGAGCAAAACACAGGAGCCAAGAGTCATGAGAAGATCTGGGATAGAGCCTTCCAGACTGAGGGAACAGCAAAAGAAGAGTCCTGAGGAGGAAATGAGACCAGCACAGTAGAGGGACAGAGAGAATGGGTGGCATGGACAGTCGGGAGGAGATGAGGTCAGGGGGAGGCAAGGGCCAAATAAGGGAGGATACTGAAGCCGTGGAAAGAGTTGGATTGTTCCAAGTGGCCCCAATAAGCTGCTGGCACTGTTCCATCTACTCTTCAAACACCTCTAGCTCCTGACTGCCTCACTGCTTTGCACATGATGATTCCACTGTCTCGAAGACCCTTATTCTTGTTCTTTTCATGTCTAGCTTACCATCTTTTAGGTTTCAGTTTAAATGTTACCTCAGAAAGAACATTCTTCCTAAACTAAGTCTCCCTCCTGCTCTCCAATTAGTCATTGCACCTGATCATTTCTTTCATGGCACCAACATATTTTTAAATTACATACTCATTGTTTCTTCACCATCTCCCCACTATGCTGTGAACTCCATGAGAGGGGGAAGATGTTTTGTTTACCAATGAAAAATACCCCATGTCCAGCACCGTCCCTGGCATGGGTGGTCACTCAGTAAATGTTTGTTGAATTAACCAATGTGAAAGTTTGTCAGCACCGAAGTAGTTGGTAGAATACTTGTTGGTTTTTTACTTGTTGGTTTTTAAAATTCAGTGAAGTTGTTTTCTATTAATATGTGTCCTCAAATAGATTATAAATAGGAACTTTGGAAAGAGGAGGTGGTAATGAGATGGAGAAGAGTTGTTTTTGGTGGGACAGTGGATGGAGATTGTATTGCATATGTTTGCAGGACAGGGAGAAGAAAAGGCTTCAGTTTATGGAGCACCTATTATATATGCTGTGCACCATGCTAGGTACTTAATCACCACCACAGCCCTGCTAGGTAGTTATCCTCATTTTTATACATTGGAAAATTCAGAGAGATTAAGTCACATGCCCAAAGTCACATATTGACAGATAGTGCTGACCCTATAGCCCGTGCTCTTTGCATTTAGAGAAATTGGATTCGGAGATGGGCTTATCTGGTGATTGACTGTGTCATTAGCAGGCTTTCATTTGAGAGTTTGGGTACTGCCATTTAAGGATCCCAATCATATTGCTCTTCTTGTATTCCTCAACAAAAGGCCTAGTTGGAAACTGCTGACATTTGTTTCCTTTGGATTAGAGCAGAGCTCATTTTACCGTTTCCTTTTCATGTTTTAAAAAAATGTATTTCTTTTTATTCATAATGTCTATATGTTTCATTAAAGGAAAAGAGATACCAGAAAAATGGGTGTGTGTCATAAATGCTAGTAACATCCCACTGGTTAGGCTTATTACTGTAGGCCTAGCTCACTCACCTAGGTCTCAAGTAATACTTTAGACATCAAAGACAGTTCCCTGGCAAAGAGTGACAGGCTCACCGCAACAATAACTTATCCCATTTACTCATCAGAATTACACACCATCATTTCCCTCTAACAGGATAGCTGCCTCAGGATAACTGGGGAGAACTACTAGAAAGAAGGGGGCTGCTGTCTTATATTGGGGCTATCCAGTCTTTACATGAGGGAAGTAATATACTATAACTCATGAAAACATACACTTGTCAACCAAATCTAGTTAGTCTATATGCAAACCAAATAGTAAGTGGGAATACATACCTGAAAAGACTCCCCCCACCTCTACCCAACTGTAATATAATTTGTCCTTGGAATAAATCCTACAAACAAGATAATTTCTTCAATTTCTATGGTATTCTCTCCTCTTAAGGTTACCATCTGTTATAGGTTGAATATATCCCCTCCCCACCAAAAGGAAAAAGATATGTTCAAGTCATAACCTCCAGTACTAATGAATATGAACTTATTTGGAAATAGGGTCATTGCAGATGTAAGTACATTTGACTCTTGAACAACGTGGGTGTTGGGGTGCTGACCTCCTGTAGTCGAAAATCCACATATAATTAGCAGTTAAGTTAGATGAGATCATACTGGAGTAGGGGGGACCTCTAATCCAATAATTAGTGTCCTTATAAGAAGACAGCCATATGAAGAAAGAGACACACAGGGAGAAAGCCACGTGATGGCAAAGGCAGACACGGAGTTATACAGCTGCAAGCCTAAGAAGACCAAATATTGCCAGCAAACCACCAGAGTTTAAGAATAGACTAGCAAAGATTTCCCTATAGGTTTCAGAGGGAACATGACCCTGCCATACCTTGATTTCAGACTCACAGACTTTGGAACCACGAGACAATAAATTCTAATTGTTTTAAGTCACCCATTTTGTGACACTTTGTTACAGCAGCCCTAGAAAAGGATACATCATTTTATGTATATGGTAGGGCCTGAAATAGAGGAGAGATGGGAGTGGGCAGTGAGGAGGCCTGGGCTACTGTACAAATTTGGCAGTAAAGCAGCTACAAGGCCTCAGGCCAGTCACTTGACCCCACTGAGCAAGTTTCCTCATCTGTATGGACAGGGATAAGGATAGCTGCTCTGCCTATCATTGAGATCTGCAGTGATAGCTAACAAGTATTCCTTCAGAGACGCTGTGACCAAGACAGCCTAACTGTTACTGAGAAACAGTTTTGCAAAAGACAGGGTTCCTGCTACACAGAATTTTATAGTGTGGCTGTGAAGAAAGGCACTTTCCTATGAGAAGATACCTAGCGCAGGTCAAGTGCCAAGTATGTGGTTTGGATCTAATTCACTAGGTAGGATTTTTAAAAACACTAGAATTGGAATGAGAAGTCCTGGATTTTAGTGAACCTTTCTGTCTGTGCAGGCTTAGGGAAGTGGCTTCCCTGGATCTCTCTTCTCACCTTCAGAAATGGGGATATTGATATCTATTTGTCAGGCTTGTTGTGAGGATTAAATGAAATAATGTATGTGAAAATGGGTACCACCCAGCAAGCACTCAATAAATGTTCATTAGGGCCAGCCGGGTGGCGCGTTGGTTAAGAGCTGGCTTGAGATGCCAGCTCTGAGCAGCAGGGCCCCGGTTCGGATCCCATATGAGGGCCAGTGACACTGCCCTCTACAGCTAAGATGGTGAACAACAGCTTGACCTGGAGCTGGGCTGCTTTGAGTCGCAGGCGATGGCATAGGCTGCAGCCCCTGCTGCAGTGGGCTGCCATAAGCTATTGTGTGTGCTGGCAGCCTGTGTGGGTGGCAGGCAGCCAGCGTGAGCTGCCAAGAGCCGCAGTGAGCGGCCGTCCAGGGGCCAGCGACCAATCTGCCTCACCCGGGAAGAGCACAATGGTAATACCAACATGGGCCAGTGAAGCGATGTCCTCCACAACTAGACTGAAGAACAAAAGGACAGCAAGTTGTCTGTTCCCCTACCCCAATTCCCCAATAAAATCTTTAAAAAATTAAAAAATTAAAAAATAAATGTTCATTAAATCTGAATGAATCTGAGTATCTGGTTAGAGATGTAGGTAAATGGCTAGGAGGCTAAATTATTTCCCCAAAGTCAAGAGGAATGATCTAAAGTAAAAAACCAGAAGTACGAATTTCAGATATTTCAATTTTGTCTCAGCTTGGACAAGTTAAAATGTGTACTTGTTTCCTAAGTAGACCATTTATTCCTTGAAGCCTTTACTGGTTATTCCCAGCTAGAGGTAATCCCTCCTTCCATGGCCCAGAGTTCTCCTTCGGGTAGTATGACATGATTATTGGGTTTATGATTCTTCACTAGGTACAGGCATGAGGGCAGAGATTATGTGTCATTCATCTTTGTATCTGTCCTACATAATGTCTTGAAGCATCCAAACAAACAAGATCAGCCAAATTTGATAATTTTAGAAGCTGGATGGTAAGTGTCATGAACATTCATTATACTATTCTTGCTACTTTGGGATGTGCTTGGAAATTTTGATAATAAAATTTCTTTAAAAAAATATATCCAAGAAAGACATCTTCTGCTTCAAGGTCGTGGATTGAGTACAGGTATTTACCTCCTATCTCTTTGCGTCCCATTAAAATGTATCAGAGCTTAATTTTCAATAAAACTAATGAAGGTGAAGATTCAAGGCCCCTCACTTGCATGGGCCCTTTTAAGCTCCTAGATGGTGCTTTAGTAATATGTTCATAAGTTTTTGTAAAAACTGCCTATGTAAAATATTTTAACCACAATTGGTTGAGGGCCTTGTCCCCTTCTATTCTGACTTCTCCACTGTCACAGTTCTTCAGTCAGGTAGTATTAGAGTGGCTGTAGTCATTTTTGGGATCCAGCTAGGGCAGTAGAGTTTGAGGCACAGTTTGCTTGAATTTTGTGGGAGAATACTTATGTG